GGAAGCACTGTCTGACGCGTCTGCCTCCGCGACCCGAAAGGAGAAGCGGCGATGGAAGATGAAGATATTTAAATAAACTTGTTTCGCTTCATCTGGCAGCTGGGTGCGTAGCAGCACCACAACTGCTTTAAATTTACAAGACAACCAGGATACTACTTGGCAACAAAGCCGTTACCAGTTTTAAACGGAAGAGATAGACAGCGCGATATCACTATGACATGCCAGATGAAGCACAGAAGTGATTCCGCCAGTGGGAGTCCACGCAAAAATTCGATATTTCTTCCCCAGAGCTAGATTATTAGTTCCAAGGTACAAACTGGATTCTTTGAACTTCATCAACGAAACGCTAGAGCCTGGAATTCGGAACTTCCGGCGTAGAAGATATTCTACTAATATGCTAACTCAACAAACCACGCTCAAACAGGTGTTTGCGTCCTGGTTGAACTCAATGTAGCTCTCGCCTTGCTAAAGCTCTGATTCTGTTACGGCTCGACGTCAGGAGTCAATTGCGTGTTATTCAACGAGGACTGCTTGCTAAAACTCCTTCAAACTGCCTGTTAGACAAGACTTTGTGTGGTATGAATTCTGCCTTAGCCATAATCTGACATTTTGAAGCCTGCTGATCAAAATCTGCCGTTTTGTCAACGCTCATTCTGCGCCATACTATCAAGCCTTTAACCACACTGTTTTGTCCCCGGCCTGGGATCCTGTCTCAATACTTTGTTCAGGAATCAGAGTAATTTCAAACTCCAGATAATTAAGCATCTCGAGAATGAGTACTAAAACCTACTGCGTGTGCAAGTTGGCTCTGTCACTTTCACTCACTTCACTTGCGTCACTCAGCATTACCAAATCGACACATTTCAGCATAACCGACAACAACAATAGTCGAATAGCACGTGACGAATAGCCGTGCCAATCAACCTTAGAAGAAGAGAAAGAAAAACAACGTCACTGCTCCAGAAAAGAGCATCTGTCAAACAGTAACGACAAAAAATATTTATTTTGAAACATGTCAGATTCGTTTTCCAAGGAACACCTAAAAAAACATTACGCCAACAACAACTAAGACTGAAAAAGACAGCATCTGGTTCAGTCAATCTTTGGTTCGAACTTTCTATTCACATCTCGAAACAGACTTAAACACCGATGCTTGCAATTATATATTGTTTCTGATGTAAGACGACAGGTATTTCATCACAGCAGATGGCGATGAGGTTTCCATCTTATCGAATACATAGTTGACTGGAAAGATTAACCAGTGAGTAACCTAAAAAATGTCGGAGGACATTCAATAGAAAAAGGCCATTCGCAAACTATATAACTAAGTACAGTAAGCACCTTAACGTGTAGAATATAAAAAATAGCCGAATTAGATACTCGAGAAAAAAACTTAATTATTAGCACGGACCTTTTGTAAAAAGTTTTACACTTTTCCTAAAGAGAAACTGAAGGCAGTAAGAACACACTGCCTGAAGTTTATTTTAAAAAACTGAAGCAAAATACTTTAATCTCAGGGATTAACATTTAACGGCCCCGGAGCTCGAAAATGATTGCCGATATTAATGGCGGATGCCTCAGCTGCCCTTCTGTCTAGCAGGAGGCGATCAATGTTGTACCATTTGCTTAATAATGCGGGTACGGTACAGCGCGACGGTAGGACGCAAATTTTAGCTAACACCAATTCGATTGGAGCAGATGCTTTTTGCAGTGGTCGACTCTGCAACTCTTCACATTGCTTCTATTTCCATATCAAATCAGGATGTGATTAATATCTTTGACTGAGTGACTGTCGCATGACTGCCAGGTCCAACGATGGACTCTATGACGAGCGCGAATAGCCATACAGAGTTACCATTTACAGGTCTAGATTTCAAAGATCACTGAGAATAATTTGAAACTGAATGCTTCTCGAACTCGGCGCTGAGTTCGCCGTGCAACATGTAAGAGATGACAAACAGAGCAGATTTCAGTTGTCGAAACAAGCAGTCTTTCTCGTCGATGGTGGTTTCTTCTACCACAGAATTGGAAACGATGATCGACAGGAAATCTTGGCGGTGACAAATGCGTCTGCAGTTATCGGTACAAAACTGGCAAATGGATGTAAGCTAATCAAGGACTAGTAGGGTGGCTACTTAACGACAAATGCAACTCCACTCAGGAGTTTACAACTACCCGAGCAAAGAAAGGGACCGTTTTCTACGCATTGGAAACCGCGGCAACGTGCCTCGGTGATGCGGCTTGTTAGGGGGATGTCGATGCGTATACAGGTAAGAGCGGTAATGTAGCTGCTCTCATGGCCAAATGAAATAGCAACTGCAGATTCTGCACTGCTATGTGCGATAATTATAAACTAAATATAGTCATTTCTGATAGAATGGTCAACGACTGAACCACTACAGCAGAAATTTTTGCTGCACTCGCCCAGACATCCTGACCATAGATAGTGGCAAGAATGGAAGAAATGCTTAAGGAAGATATAAAATTCAATAAGCCAGGCATGCACATGGGAAATAAAGTAGATAGTTCCTAAACTAAGTTTCGTTTGACTTTAGTGAGAAAAAATGTACAGCATTGATTAAATCAGCAGCACAGAGACTGAGATAACACAGATACCTACTGAGATAACACAGATATACAGATAACTATAAATCAGCTAAAGAAAAGAATTTAACAAGTTGAACATCTGCACTGTCGAGCTCAAAAATTCCTGCAAATTCAAATAGCAGATTATTGCGCAATAAGTCTCACGTACTGGCCAAAGTGATATAGCACTGTTTCTGAGGCTGCAATTATAAACACAGCATAACTACGCACATACCACAGCGATAACTTCTGCGGCAGTTCCTGGGTACTGATGCGTAAGGAGTGCAAGAACTGCTGTTCCTGAGCACAGTCCGGCAGTGAACAGTGTCATGAAAGGTAATTCCTTCTTTGGATAGACGCTGATTTCGTGCCACGCTGAAAAACAGGTGAAATGCAAATGAATAGAAACAGCGCGTCAGTTCATGTAATACAAGGAAGATAAACATAAGCATCTGAAAATCAAGATTTCGACTGCTGGGAAATAGCAGTTACGAATAAATGCCGAAAATCTGGAAATGAGCCATCTTAAAAGACTGCGGCAACGGATTCACGAATTTGTGATGCAGTGATAACAGCTTGGTCTATGCAGTAACGCAACGCATATGAGGTGAATAAAGTATTAACAAATAAGATTACGATTCAATTTAATAAGAGAGGGCGCACGTCATTATTTCAAAATGATGACAAACAGTTAAAAAAGGTGTGCATTCGTAAAAAGAGGTTAAATCAATCAGAAAACGTTTAGAGTGAGTAATCCGTTTATGCGCTGCTGTTCACAATGAAAACTGAAAAATGTGTAAAAACGGTATATTCATAGACAGCACAAACAAATAAGTTGGTCAATCAGGTGATTGACCGGTGCCGACGTTTCGGGTAGTCTATCACAAGATTTCTTCAGGATAGTCCGAGCTGACTTCTGCAGTTAGTTGGTTGTGCAGTTAGTCCGCAGCTGTTGAGGCGCCTGTAGACAAAAGTTGTTTCTGGCACGTGTTGCTCGTTAAGAGGTTAAAAATCAGGGGTTCTTCGATTCATCCACTAAGTTTTCTTTCTTTAAGGATGCCCACGCAATCAAACCACTGGGAGACGTGGCATTTTTCTGCTTCGGGCTCAGTCATCCCGAAGCTTCTTCACACTGTTCTTTGACCTTGTTAGGTGGGAGAGTTTGCAGTCGCATGTCGTTCGCGTTCGTCTGCGGTCATCCGTAGGAGAAACCGGAAAGGAAGTCACCCAAAGGGCAAAAGACAACCTGTTAAGTTGGAAAAGATAGGCGGCCGCAGACAAACGCGAACGACATACAGCAACAAAAAGTCCAGGAAGAAAACAAACTCTCCCACCTAACAAGGTCAAAGAACAGTGTGAAAATGAGGATCGTACAGCATGCAGCAGAGAAATGACACGTCTCCCACTGGTTAGATTGTACGGGAATTTTCGGACAAACCGGCAGGGCATCATTAAAGAAAGAAACTTGCTGGGCAGACGAATTAAGGAAACCTTACTTATTCAATCATGCGAAAATGTTAACCGGGACAAAGGATACGAACTCTGCGCGGATTGGACAAGCTTTATCAAGCCCGTGACTCCAAAACTACTTAACCAACAGCATGGGCCAAAAACACGTTTGGCTCCAGACGCAACAACAGCTGCAAACCACGCAATCAACTGCAGAAAGCAACCAAAACCACTGTGAAGAAGGCTCGTGAGAGACGAACTGAAACGTCAGAACCGGTTAGTCACCTGCCTTATCAACTTATTTGTTTGCGTTGTGTATAAATAAAGCATCTTTACGCATTTTTCCGTAATCACGAAACGTTTAGCACAGAATTGCCCGAGAAAGACGACCTTCCTGCAAATGGCGGAAGCTATTGTTTCAAAGCCATAAGAGACGGCTTACAAGAATCGGAGGCATAGGCTATGCAGCGGTATAAGTAATAACAAGTCAGTTGAGGTTATTTAATAGCAAAATGCTTAGAAATTTCAGCTAGAAATCATGAAAGTCCAAGAAAGACGGCAAAGCTAGAACATTTCCACACGGGATGAATGTACCTGGTAAGAGCTCCCGATCAGCAGCTTCTGTGCACGCTGGATACGGATAAAACATATGCCCCTTTTCTAGTGGAAACGGTATCATCCGAAAGGCTAAAAATGTCTATATGTTATTAATATTAAACTGGGACTGTCTGCAAATAACGATACAAAACAACTCGCAAGTTAGAGCGAAAGTTTCCGTTCCATTCAACATAGATTACTAATAAGTGAGAAAGAAGCAAGAAACTGCTGTAATAGTTACGACATTTCCTATGAAACAGGACGCTCCTGGATGACATCACCACAACGGAATTACCGCTGCAACATAAACTTCATGGCATATGCCAGGCTTCAAGAGCTGGAAGAAAAGCAGACAAATCAAATGGGGCACTACAGTACCCAGTGACCTGAGAAGAGAGGAGCGGTCGTTGGAGCTTAAAAGTCTTCAACCTCCTGTTCTACAAAGGATCGGGAAATAAAAGTATGCGAGGGGATATGGCTCATTATGCACATGTGATTAAAGAACTATGTAGTACAAGTGGACAAAACTTCAGAAAGCAATACTGGCTCTGAGAGTTTGAAACAGATACAAATTCAAAGTGTTCTAAGTATAAGCTGTCTTGATGAAGAGATTGAAAATTTCTACAAAGAAATGGACGAAATGCATGAACATGGTAAGTGCCATTAAAGGTTTATCATTTGCGATTTCAACACCAAGCTTAAAATGAAGCAAGGTAACGAATGACCTCTGGGCCGATTTGGTTACGGCGAAAGCGAAGAGGCGGGCGACCGACTAGTGGAATTAACTAAATGAGCAAGTTATTTATCATGCGCACTTTTTCCAGAAAAAGCCAGGCAAAAGACAGACATGTAAAGGCCCAAACAACGCAAAGAATGAAATCGATTTCATCCTCAGCAACATGACGACCACAGTGTAGAAGGTGCACTGCTAAATAGGCCTAATGCCGGGGCAACCACCTGCTCGTCAGAAGCAAAGTGCACCTGGAAGAAATCTGAAGAGGACGAAAAGGAAGATACTCGATGCGGAGACATTCTAGAAGACTCTGACGCTATTCCATCTCAATTGGAGTAACCCATTCGATGTCCTTCGCGGATTACAAGAGGAAACACAAGAAGCAGCGAACAACAACGTAATGTAACAGGATATAATATAATGGAAGCAATTACAGAATCGCGGAAAACATCTCTGAAGCATGGATTATGAAGGTAGGTGGAAAAGTTACGAGACAGACGAAAGAATACTCATGAAAAAACGAAGAGAAATGAAGGCAGTAACTGATGAGAAATCAAAAAACGAATACGTGGAACTTTAAAAAAAAACTACAATGAAACGCAAAAAGCCAAGATGTCAGCTACAGATCAGTAATGAAAACTACTGAAAACAACCAAAGCATAAAGAAATTAAACTGAAAACTGACGAACGGAAGCTGAAAAATTTTTTGTTCTCACACCAGAAGATTGACTTGTGATCAGGGAGAAAGTTGATTCTAAAAAGTGGAAGATTTCCATGTAAAACTGTACAAAGATGAGAACAGCAAACCCCCCCCCCCCAGATAACAATAAGGAATCTGAAGATACAAATGAAGCTGACAAAATTCCAGATGTCTTGCCAGAGTAAATGAGACATACAATAAAACACTCAAAGTGAGGAAGGGCTCCAAGGTAAGAGGGCATTCCAGTGGAACCCCTCCATGATATTAGCGATAGTTTTCACGATGCCTGAAGGAACTAAAAATTCCAGATGATGGGACCACACCACAAAAAAAGATATAGAAATGTCAAGGGTAGCAGAAGAACTCCAAAGAAGAATCCAAAAACTGAACGACGCCAGCATGAAAATAGGACTGAAAATGAATCTGAAGAAATCTCATGCCAATTCAACAAATACGCGACGT